AAGTGGTGGAGTCCCCATCCCTGGAGGTATTTAAAAGACGAGTAGATGAGGCGCTTAGGGACATGGTTTAGTGGGCATGGTGGTGTTGGGTTGACGGTTGGACTCGATGATCTTAGAGGTCCTTTCCAACCTCAATGATTCTATGATCTCCTGAGCGCTAGAGATGGTAGAACTCTGTTGCAGGTCTACAGCTGAAATAGCAACTTTCTGTTTCTGTACAGATGATAGGACACGAGTTCCTCTGGGAGAAAAGAATGGCTACATTAACGCAAGTTACATTAGAATGAAAGTTGGAGAAGAGGAACTTTTCCATATTATAACACAAGGGCCTCTGCCATCCACTGTGGCTGATTTCTGGCAAATGGTCTGGGAGAGTGAATCAGACATGATTGCCATGATGACAAAAGAAGTGGAGCTGGGGCAAGTCAAGTGCCATCGATACTGGCCTGAACCTCCCCGTGACTCTATAGACCTGGCTAATTTCCATCTCAGGCTAGACAATTACCAGATTCTGGAATACTTCATAATTAGAACAATAGAAATGATCAACAAGCAGGTAAGTTGAGTATACTTAATACTTTCATATGTGATGAAATTGATCAGATATTTTACATGAGTAAATACTAGTAGTATTGTTTGCTTCTTCCATAACATTTGCTCAGTATTTTTTAGGAATGTAAAAATCTGAGTAACAGGCATGAAATTAGGGTTAATGAGACGCTGCTGCTTTGTTCATTGCACAAGCAATGGATCCAACATTACATACATTTGGACAAGAATGTCCAAAAATTAGTCCTTTAATAGCCACAGAGCTGGTGTGTTCAGTGTTTTGCAGAATTGCTTATTGTTCTCATGAAATTAAATCAACAAGGGCTGCCGCAGTGGGTTCATACTCTGTAATTGTGGCTGGAAGGAAAGAGGGAAGAAGGTGGTTTTCATCCTAGAATTTAGAACACGTGATACTTCTTTCATTCACGAAAAGACATGAATACACATGAAACTACAAATCTAGCAGCAAGTTTTTAGAAATCTAAGAAATAGAGAATCCAGGTGTAAGAACATGGAAATCGGAACAACTATAAGTCCATCAGTCTTGCCGCAATATTAAGTAAAGCTTTGCAAAAATTTCTGCAGGACATATTAATTAATGGAATAATTAAAAGATTCATACTTGTGCCAGACTAACTTGGTGTCTTTTTCCATCAAGAAAACAATTTCTCTATATGAAAAAAACACAATTCACCTTATGTCACTGAGTGTGAAGCATAGTAAAGCATTTGATATGAGTCTTCCTAAAAGATTATTAAGATGGGAAATGGGCCATTATATGTGATTGTTTCAACAAACATGTTATGTTTGCTATGTTTGTCTTGGACCAGTACCAAATTACTACAGAAGGCCACAGGTTTACTTCTGCAGAAATCCAGACATGCATTCAAATTCTTCTGATGGTAAAAATCCAGGTAGTTCTTTTGCATTCAGCTTAACAGGTTTTGGCAAGCTGGCAACAAGAAGTACTGTCCCAGGACCATTCAATTAATAATACTCTTTATTTTATCTACATTATGATTATTCTTGTAAGCATTTTTTTAGTTGATTTGGTTTGTATGTTAGGGTATCTAATCACAAATTGTTCTTTTATATCCGATGATAGCCAGAATAGCATTTACGATCTTACTGTCATGGCTATCATATTACTACTCTTCTATCAGTACGGCTTAGTTCAATTACAAAAACAATTTTAGTAAACAGTACTGGAATGTTCTAATTTAACAAATGTTTTTGTTTTTTCTGTTCTAACCAACAAATAAGAGAACTACATCCTTTTGGGGCAACAGAGTAACTTCAGTGTCTCATCAAAATTATATGAAGTAAATTTCCTAGGCCTGTGTCTTCTGAGTGCATTTCTGAAAACCTAAAAGAAACCTTAATAGGGTCAAATATGAAAAGCTGAAGAATTGTAGGGTAGACAAACAATTGACTAAGAATGAGGCTGAAGGAAAATTTATCAGTGGAATTCCTTGAAAATTGGTCTTAGGACTGATCATTTTTAACATTTCTGGTCTTTCTCTTCCAGACAGAAGAGAAACGCATTATAAATCATCTGCAGTTTACCACTTGGCCAGACCACAATACTCCCAAGCTGGCTGAGCAGCTTGTAAAATTTATTTGTTACATGAGAAAAGTTCACAGTACAGGACCTATTGTTGCTCACTGCAGCACTGGCATTGGAAGAAGTGGAGTCTTGCTGTGCATTGAAGTTCTTCTCAGCTATATAGAAAAAGATCTATGTGTAAGTATCAAGCAGATCATCGTTAAGTATTACAAATTCATATGGAGGTCAACAACATGTGGGGGTATCTTAGACCAGAGTAATTCCTGGTAGAATTCATCTTAACAAAATGGAATAAACCCAGCTTTTGTTGTTTTAACCGACAAAGATAATAACTACAAATAAACTATTGTTGTAAAAGAACTGACACAGCTTCCCCATCTGAACATGCTTAAATCTTTCTTTATAACTTGCGTGTCAACAAAATAAAAACTGTTCTCTTCTGATAGTTCAACATCAAGCAGATAGTGAGAGATTTAAGACATCAGCGTTTTGGCATGATCCAAACTAAGGTAAGTTCTCAATATTCAACTAGATTATGATTTTTAAAAGCCTCAGTTAGTGGTACAGATCCACATGATAAATCTGGGGCTTAAAGCATAATTTTAGCCCTCTCATTTGAGGAAAATAACAGCCTTCCAGGCAAGTGGTGTCTAGATTTAAATATGAAAGATCTGTCCCTTACAAACTAACTGAAATAAAAGCAAAGCACCAATATAGTATAGATACCAGCCCCGACCCCCCCTTTTTTTAAGCAAAAAGAAAAGCACAGATCAACAACAAAACTGGTGAGATACCATAAACTCTACGCTGCAAAATTGCAGCCTTCAGTTGAATTCTTGCCATTGCTGAATTATCATCACCTCAGTAAACCTTTCTACTGCTGAGTTAAACCTACCCCTGAAGAGTTTTCACACAGGAAAAGACAAGATGTGGCTGACTCAATTTAGAGCAAACAGGTGGTGGGAAGAGAAGCAAGACAAGGCTAGAGTAAGTTCTTCCTATAGGCAAATATTTTAGCACATGCTTCGATATATTTTTCTTCAGGATCATGATTGAGCATGTGATTAAAATTAAGCAAATAGATAACCTTCATCGACCTAAATGAGACTTGAGCACATGCTTACAGGTACTGCATTGAGTAAGAAAGCGTTCCTGAACTTTTATGAGTGATGGAACAAAAAGAACAAGGATGCTCTTAAATATCTAAGTTTTTGTATCCGTGTTACAAAGATGCTGATGTTAAAAACAGCACTTCAGCCAGTCCATCCTTCTTTGTCTAGAATTTATGTTGAATGTAACCGGGTGTTTCACACTGGTGTCTCTACATACAGGATGAGTATTTTTTCTGTTACGAAGTTGTGCTGGAAGTCCTTCAGAACCTTCAAGCAATGGATTCCTACTGACTGCAATATGACTCTTCCCTGTTGCTATTCCCCTTGGACTCCAAGGACCACTCAGCAATTGCTTTAAAGAGATGTCAAGCCAGCACAGACAAGTGTTACATTAAACGCTTTGTTAGATTACTGATTTTGAAGGCATTTCAAAACCTTGCTTAACATGTCCTGGGTAAGTCATTTAAATCTTGGCTCACAGTTTGGAGAAACAGCCAGCCAGCACTGCAACACTGCTGTTAAATTGCCATGGACAATTTGCGTGTTCTGTGTAATAACATGTTAATTGTTAGGAAAATATTTTGGGACTGTGACAAGAAGATAGCAGCCTTTGGAATTAGCTTTACTGTCCAGAGGGCAACTATAAAGACCTAAGATTCTGTCAGTGTTGCTGGAAGATTAGTTGTCCCTTACACATTGTTGTGCACTCCTGGCTTCTGGACTGCAAATCAGTGTTTGCTACAGTAGTTATGCTTTTGCATGGAAGGACTCAATTTGTTTGCCTTTGGTTGCTTGAACAATATAGAACCATTTCCAGTCATCACTCTAGCCCAAGAATTTATACCACCATCACTAGACATCTTAAATCAAGAAACTGACAGAAAAATAGGATGCCTTTAAACCCTAGTTGGTTCTCTTCAAAGCAGGAAGAGCATTCTAATAATTGGATGGAATATTAACTTTTCCCAGCAATATGAACAGCTGTAGATAGCATCAGTATTCTTTCATTCTGCATCCATGTAGAAAGGAATGCAATAGTAAGCCAGATGAAATGAGTGTGTGTGCACTGTGGCACGCATATACATTTCATCGTCCCCTGATCCTTTCCATTGATCTATCTTGTAATTCTTATCTAGGTTCTGAACCAATCGATGGGAAATCCCACTGGTTTCAGTAGGGGCTGAATCAGATCTTTAAATTAGAGTAAATAACTCTCTGTACAGTTTATTTCTCTTGTAAAAAGAGTTTCTGTTAGTGTGTGTTTGAGTGGATTTGAGCAGAAATCTGCTGTTCAGGTTTGTAAGATTGTACCTGTTTCTATAGTACTACTTCTAAGTCCTTTATCTAGAAGGTGATATGTATGGAAGTGAAGTTATTAGATGTGCATTGGAAGAGTAACTTGTAAACACAGGAAATTATAACAGCATTTATTTAACTGAATTGTACATATTTTTAAAACTTTTATTTCAGGAAAAGAGAAAACATTAAGAGACATTTGAATATAAAACTGCAGTAGAAACAGGACAGTAAAATAGCTGTTTATTTTCATTACAGATGAGAGGTTTATGGTTCAGAAAGAACAAGGGATTAAATACAAATTAAAAGTATGACTTTTAGAAAAAGCCACTGTAATACAATTATAATTAAGGCCAAGGGCCATTTTTTCTTTTTGCCCTCAGATAGTTTGCTGGAAGTCAGGAAAAGGTAGAAATGAAATTTATGATGTGAGCCAGATACTAATTTCAAACTTGTTGATAGAGATCCAGAGTAACTCTAAATCAGTGGAGTAACTCTGGACTTATATTGGTATAAACATAACCAGAATTCAATGTTTTGTCTTAAATTCATTGAATTTGAGCCTTCCCAGAAGCATTGCTCTCCATACATTCCGCATTTCCTATCTTTATGTTGCATTTAAAGGACTATTTGCACAGTTTCATCAAGTGTCATCAGCCAAATTTTCGTTCATAACTTTGTTACCTTCATTTGGTATTTGGCCTTTCACTTTGATTTTAATTACTGCACATGTACTACTATACAATGAATGCACTACACTGCGCACAAATGCACAATTCACATTTTGTACCACAACAACTTTAAAAAGCTTCTCAGTGAAAATATTCCTGTACTTTATGCAAAGGTGTTTTTTCTGTGGTTTGGGGCAAGCATTCTGGATTTAGAAGACAATCTTCACTATTGTTCCTCCACATTTGTGCATCATCTTTGCAGCCCTTCAACAGAAGTGTTTGCTGTTTGACAGAAGTTTTTTCCTGTTTTACAGGGATATTAAAAAGATTTTTGAAAACACTGAATTGCGTTTCATTTCAATTTCCTTTTATGAAAAAGCAGCTGTAATACTTAACTACTAACCAGTAAGAGCTCTAGGGGAAATAGTCTTTTATTAATTGGGGCTTGTATTTAAACTTCCTCTAAAGGCAGATTTTGTGATGATGGTACCTTTTGTACATTCCCCTAAAGCAGGTATTACTGACCTCTGAGACATTCTGCCACATCCCATGTTCTTATCCTTTAGGAATATAATAATTAAATGCTTCTAAACAGACACTATGGTTATGATCCCCATAACGACATCCTCACTCAGACTGAACTTTGTTTTGGATGAGACATACACTTTTACACAGATCTAGTCCTCTAAGGCTGTTAGCAGAGCAAGATAAAACAGAACTGGCCTTCCAGATATTTCGTGATCTGTTATATAACAAAGAAACTTTCGTCCACAGAAAACCCCAGAGCCTCTCAAACCAACTTTGAGCGGAGCCGGATAGATGCAATTTACCACATGCTTGGTGACAGGCCCTCCGTCTGTCACAGTCCCGGAGCAATCCTACAGAGCAAGTCTCTCAATCCACAGCCTGAAAACATTTTAAGAAAACTGCGGACTTGCAAGGGTTCTGCACATATTTGAAGCTAAAGGCTGGTCACCTTAGCCCTAGTACTGCTCATGAGCTCCGCTGCTGACAGTAGCCTCAGCAGCAGATAAATTTTGAGGAGGGAAGGACTGAAATGATAGACACAGCTTCTTTCTACAACAGACACCATGTTTGGAGGAATAAACAATGAGTCATCACCGGAAAGTGCTTAGCAGATGTGGCTGCTGTATATGCTCTCTTGGAGATGCTAAGGAACCATCTGTTCCCAGCTTCCCCTTTAAAGGTAGGATTCAGGGTTTCAACTTCCAGCTCTGCTGCAGACTTCCTGAAAAAGCCAAACCACTTAAACAGGATTCTCTGAGCCTCACAGGTTTCTTCTTTTACACTGCACTACTGGGGTACACTCATATCCTTTATAGATGCGGCCACTAAGCCCAAAGTGTAGATAAACTGACTGTTAAGAAGCATTTAAGTATAAGGGAATCCGGCTACATCCAGGAGCTTATACACCGTTTTCCCCCATACATAGCACAAATGAGAGTCCCACTTCTGTGTTCTTGCAATGGTTTAACCTCAGCCGGCAACTAAGCCCCACGCAGCCGCTCGTTCACTCCCCCCCGGTGGGATGGGGGAGAGAATCGGAAGAGTAAAAGTGAGAAAACTCATGGGTTGAGATAAAGACAGTTTAATAGGCAAAGCAAAAGCTGCGCACACAGGCAAAGCAAAACAAGGAATTCATTCACTCCTTCCCATCGGCAGGCAGGTGTTCAGCCATCTCCAGGAAAGCAGGGCTCCATCACCCATAACGGTTGCTCGGGAAGACAAACGCCATCACTCTGAACGTCCCCCCCTTCCTTCTTCTTCCCCCAGCTTTATATGCTGAGCATGACGTCACATGGTGTGGAATATCCCTTGGGTCAGTTGGGGTCAGCTGTCCCAGCTGTGCCCCCTCCCAACTTCTTGTGCACCCCCAGCCTGCCCGCTGGTGGGGTGGGGTGAGAGGCAGAAAAGGCCTTGACTCTGTGTCAGCACTGCTCAGCAGTAATGAAAACATCTCTGTATTATCAATACTGTTTCCAGCACAAATCCAAAACACAGCCCCATACTAGCTGCTGTGAAGGAAATTAACTCTATCCCAGCCACAACCAGCACAGTTCTTTATTCACACAAAACTCCTATGGAGATCAAGGCTCATTGATACGCATTCATTTGGAACAACAGATAACCCACTCCTTAAAGAGCTCACACTACTTGTCAAGTCAGGCTAAACTGGAAAGAAAGGAAGATCTACTGTCCCATTTCGGTCATAGGGAGGTGAGGCAGGGATTGGTGATTTGTCCAAGGTCTACAGAGTTTTTGGAAAACTTGGGAACTAAACTCAGATGATGTAAGCTCTCATTCTGTGCCTACACACAAAAGTATCTTTCCTCAGTCAGAAAATAGGATCATACTGCTCTGGCCCATTTCTGATGTGATATTATTTAGCATATAAAGTGATCTGACCAGAACTTGCACACATCCTAACATGCAAGAGATTTATTATGGTACAGAACCTCAGTCTGTGCCCGTGGTCACACTGCTTACTTCAGAAGTGGCACTGAGGTCACTAGTTGTATTTCTAAATCCTGTTACTCTACTGCCTAGTCACCAATCAGGACAAGCTGCAGTACAAATGCAAACAAAAAGGACACATTTGTTGGAAGCAGTGCCTGCCATAACAAGCACCCAAACCAAGTAAACATCTGCTAGTCCTCAGATTCATACTGTAGCACAAAAACTTGTCAGTGACACTCTGTTCAGACAGTAGCTCTGTCCATAGAACAGCACATCTCATCATCTTACTCTGGGGAAGCAACTGTTTTACTGCCATTGAGACTGCTGCTAAGTTTTTTAAGTCTACCATTTTGTCTCAATTTAAAAGCAAGTATAGCAAGGACAGCCATCTCATAGCTATTAAGTTACAAAATCATGTGAGTAGGGGGAAACCAGCATCCCCATTCTTTCCTTTAACATCTTCATTGAGGTCCATGGACTTGGGACTGCTTCATGCTGATGGCTCCATGTACTCTAATTCCCCATCTGCAACGGCAAGATACCTTCAAGTATCCACACATGCCAAAATGGGTGCTATTGACTACAAGAACATTGTCAGGTTTGAAGAATTGACTTTTTAAAGTACCAACTTGTATTTTTACAACTTGTACTAATATAATGTAAAATGCCAAGCTGGTGAAGAGGGCTTTAAACTAAAGTTGCCGGGGGGAGGGGAACCTCAATCCATCCCACTCCTACCAGTTTGATGCCAGGGCCAGCAATAGGCATCTGGAGAAGGATCACAGGTCAGCAGGAGAGCACCTGAAGAGCAGCACAAAGGAACTCCAGCCAGTAAGACAGCTTCAT